GAGGCGCCCCTGCTGCAACAGGTAACCACAACCTAACCAAAGTCCTAACCTTAATTATGGAGGTCAAAGAACATCAACCTGAAGGGAAAATACTGCAGCACAAGACAGCAAACATCTACAACACCACTGCCAAAACTCAAGTGGCTGACATAAGTCTCTGATAATTACCCCTCAGCCTGCTAATGAGCTCTGGATGCGTCTTGCCGCTGGACATCCACGCCATGGTCCGGGACAGCAGCACACCCATAGGGACAGCCACTACTGCCAGGCGCAACGCCGCTCGCATCTCCTACACTGGATCTCCCTGCAGTGACATGATGATCAGCGCTTGCAACCCCTGAGTACGTGACACACAGAAAACTGTAAAATACATGCAGCCGTGTTGTTGTTGTATCCTTCGTGACAGCTTGGCTCATTTGGTCTGTCCACTGGACTGGATGCAAAGTGTTTACAAACGGGACCGAACTTGACAGTTAGCCAGCGAGATGGTCAAGCGTCATAGTTTACAGCTATAACAGCAAGCTAACGTTACAGTATAGCGGCTACTAGTGTTATACGGTTCCTAATTATAATTTGAGTTGTTAAAATAGTCAGTATTCATAAATAAATTATTTCAACAGGGGTCAGTAGCCCTCGTTTACCTTGATAGTTCGTCACCGTCCGTCACTTCTATCCGAGACACACTTCCTGACTCCCCTGTCGGCGCTGACCAATAAGATTCGGGCTTTTCCCACGTGAAGCCGCAGTTGTCCAATCGCGTCACAGAGCCGTTTGACGGGCGGATGCAACGACCAATCAAATGTCCCCCCCACCAGGAAGCGGGCCGTCAGTCGTTAAAAGATTGTGGATCATGGATGTGGTTAGCTAGTGAGGCTAAACTTTAATCGTTAAATTCATTCACCAGCGGAAATAACGGTTAACCTGTCGAGGTTCACACACAGGTAGGACGCGTTTGTAGCTTATTATGGTGACAAATTGTTTAAAGGCTGTTTTAAATGCGCCACAGTCAGCCGTAAAGCAGGTTAGACAGCAGTTTAGCTGTTGGTGTAAATGAAGCTCAGTGTTTGGTTTCTCTTTAACTTTAACGCCGAAGTCACAAACATGCTAATGCTACATGATTTTAATCCTCGTGTCTGTTTGACCCAGAGACTGCACCAGAATGATTGACGACTTCGAAAGTCAGGAGGTTCGGTCCAGCGGGGAGCTGTGGTCCGAGATCTGCTCCAGTCTGCCGGAGGTCCGAGCTGAGGAGGCTCCGGAGACCAACACAGAGTTCAAAGACTCCTTCCATCCGGCGGCACCGGTCGGGCTGCAGGTTAATGGACAGGCGAATGGGACGGATACCAGTTCCTCCAGTGCCAAATGGGAACCCATGGAGGACTCAGAGATGTACATAGCCACCTTAGGTATGTCATGTGGCTCACCCTGTCCTCCAGCCAGCTCCTATGTGAGGAACAGAGGTGCACCAGAATCCAGCAAAACCAACAACTTCTTTAGTGTAGCATACTTCATTGCCACTTTATCCCCCACTATTTATTTTACCGTCATAGAGTGTGTGTGAGGTGGGATTGGGTATCCCCTACAAACATCCATCCATCATCTCTACACCTTAATCCTCACTAGGGTCATGGGGGGCTGGAGTCTATCCCAGCTGACTCAGGGTGAAGGCAGGTTCACCTGGACAGGTAACCAGTCTATCACAGGGCTACACTTAGAGACAGACAACCAAGCACACTCACATTCACACCTACGGACAATTTACAATCACCAATTAACCTCAGCATGTTTCTGGACTGTGGGAGGAAGCCGGAGAACCCGGAGAGAACCCACGCTGCACGGGGAGAACATGGAGACTCCACGCAGAAAGATCCCGGGTGTCCTCACCAGGACGCGAACCGGTGACCTTCTAGCTGAGAGGCGACGGTGCTAGCCACCGAGCAGCCCAAATTAAGCGAACAGATAATTAAATTATTACTCAGCAATATCTATTGGAAGAAGAATTAGAGAGACAATTAGCAGATCTTGATGCCTAATGAAGAGGGACATGGTGAGAGAGTCTGGGCTTGGAATCAACAAACATTTTAACCATAAGAAAAAATGCAGTATTGATCCACCAAGAACCACAAAGGAAGAATCAGAAGACGGTGGTTACAGTGGTCTAATCATTATTTTACTACGTATTGCGTGTACAGATAGTTTTTACAGAATATTTACTGATTTGACTGCCTGAAGAAGCTGTTCAGCATCTGGTCTTGTGATCACTTTACTGAGTAGTGATGATATGAGGATGAGCACTTATTAAATAGATGTTAGTATTTAGTTTTATGTAAGGGTTCTTATTTTTCTGATTAATGGTCTCCATTTTAATAATAACCTCTGCTGCAAGCAAACAAAAACCATCACACTAACATTATCAAGTATTACATTACGCCTTCACTAGTTCCTCTCTGTTGTGTCTCAAACAGGATTTGCTGTTTTCATTCGTCAGATGACTAAACATAGAACCTCAGCACTTTATTCTAAAACGTCAGTCGTAGCTTTAATGCGAGATGTGAAACACAGACATTTTTTGTCTACATTTTTCTGCAGAGAACCGCCTGAAGAAGATCAAGGGCCAGTCCAGCGACGTGACCTCCAGGGACATGCTGCGCTCCTTATCTCAGGCTAAGAAGGAATGCTGGGACAGATTCCTGCACGACGCTCAGACCTCAGAGCTCTTCCAAGGCGGCGAAATGGACGAGAGGTAAGACATGAACTTGAACATCATTCTGATTAAATGTTTCTCTGTATCCGTCACACGAGTTATTTCTATTTGTTAATTTTGCAGTTTCCTTTAACTTCTCCTGACTGTTTGCCATTTACAACAGCGTTCCTTCAGACACAGGGCTTCCAGGCAGTAATCAGCGTACGATAGACTCATCCTTTTGTGTGCTCTCCCTTCGCAGTGCTATCGAACACTTCAAGAGGTGGTTGATACCTGAGAAAGTGGCCATCAGCGCAGAGGAGCTAGAATATCTGCTGAGACCGTCTCAGAGTAAGGAACCGGCCGAATCGAACCAAACGCAAAACGGAGACGACGCAGAAGGAGAGACGACGCAAAACCCCGACGAGGATCACACCTCCAGCCCAGAAAAATGAGTGTCTTAAAATAGCAAAGCATCAGAACTAATTCACCGTGTATAGGGAGGCTCGTTACCCCGCCACTCGTCTGGGTCTGTGTTGTGTTCTAGCAGTGTTCTGGCCGAAGCTTTTGTTATCGGCGCCAATTACAGTCTGTCATCATCCTCTGTATCCTAAGCAACTGAGTGTTAAGCACTGATTCAGTCACATGCATCCTGTCCCGGCTTTTCATTCCTCGTTTTCATCACGTCACAAAATATAGAATAATGAAGAAATCGTTTGTCGTGTCGCAGCAGAATATTTTATTTGTCTGCTGCTGTATCTACTGCAGATGTTATGGAAGGACTACGTGTCGTAACGTGTGATTGGTGGTGTGTTGTCCTGCAGAGATGTTTCTGTTTGTAAGAATCTAGAGTCGGAGCGAATGTGAAGAATCTATTCCAGAAAATATTGTAACATAACATTTTTATTTTTGTCATGTTCATTTTACACACATGGTTTTACCCACGTTTCAATAAAAACAAGTAGAATAGATTCTGTTTGTTTGTCTGCTTGTTCGCTGCAACCAGGACATTGTTGGATGATGAGATAGATGGCGCTCTTACACGCCCGCCTTAGTTTGGTCCGATTATAGATTGAGTTCTTGGGAGTGGTTGGTCCCCAAAAAGGGGCTGTTTTAGGGTTAAGACAATTAGGTTTTGGGGTTTATTTGTATTGGTTGAGGGCTGAACTCTGCTGTGCTCGGCCCCTCTGACTGACTTCAGATGGCAGCAAAAAATCTAATTAAATTCATTCACAGTTTTAGAAGCCTTTAGCAGTCTCAGCGAGTACAACTCAGCCCGTGAAGCACTTTTATAATCCCCCTTGTGGCTCTGAAGGACCCGTGTCAGTGACCTCCAGACATGTAAACGCTCCGCCTGGATCAGAATGATGATTGATGCTGTTTGCCCACGGATAACAATTTGGGAAACTACATCTAGAGACTGAATATGCACATAACGTCATCTGAAACATTCGTCTGAAGTCCTCGGCACAAGACGTCTGCTGCATCACGTCTCCAGTGTGAGTGTGTCTGGAGTTGAAACTTCAGCTCACAGAGAAAGTCGATCCCTTCAGCCGACGAATGAGAAAACAGACTTCCTGTGTTAAATTCTGCACATAACTCATTCTGCACAGTGAAGGTCAAACATCCACATGGACTAACAGCACACAAAACCTCCTAAAATATTCATATGTGTGATTTTTTTTTTCCTTGAAAATAATCCTCTCCTGCATTAACATCACTGACATGAATCCCTACACCATCGCCTCCTCTCAACAGGACTGTTTCTTAGCTTTGCTAAGTTCAGGCTCCAGTTTGCCTCTAAACAAGCTGTAAGACGGCTGCAGTTTATCCAGAACGCTGCTGCTCGAGTCCTGACCAGAACCAGGAAGTACGACCATATTCGTCCGGCGCTCTAGTCTCTGCACCGGCTTCCTGTCGCTCAGAGAAGTGACTTTAAAACAGCTCAAGTCTCTTCATGATCCAGCACCAAAGTACATCTCTGACATGTTGGTGCCATCTGAACCATGCCGGGCTCTGAGAACCTCAGGGAGGGTCTCCTGCTGATGCCCAGAGTCAGAACCAAACACGCTGAGGCTAGAACCACTACTACTACTACTACTACTACTACTACTACTACTACTGTTACTACTACTACTACTACCACTACTGTTACTACTACTAGAACTACTACTACTACCACCACCACTACTCTGAGAACCTCAGGAAGGGTCTCCTGCTGGTGCCCAGAGTCAGAACCAAACACAATGAGGCTGCGTTCCAGTTTTATGCAGCTAAAATCTGGAACTGTATTTCAGAAGATGTGAGACAGGCCTCAACTCTGACAATGTTCAAATCCAGATAGAAAACAGCTGAAAGTATTTAATCTGTACTCTTCTATTTAATGATTATATTTATGTTCTTATGGACTGACTTTATCTGTCTTCTTATACTTTTGTGTGAAGCACTTTGTCATCAGAGCGCTGCAGCTTAAAGGTGGAAATGCTCAGCCGTTGCTTTGGCTGCTTATTTTATTCACGATGTGTCTCCCAGTGTAAAAAAACACCACATGGACACGTTTGCAAGATAGAAAATCAGTTTGTTACTGGAGAGGGCCTTGAACAAAGCTATAAATGGAGTTTCACCAGACAGGATTGTTCTGTGGTTTTAGCAAATTTGGGTTTTTTGTTTTTAAAGTTTGAGGTACAAGGTCTGAAAGGTGAAGGGAAGTGTCTCTCATCTTCTTTCCCCAACTTCTGCAGTAGAAAGAACTACTACAGCATCAGTCAGTACAGCTGCTTCCAAAATAAGTCTTGCTAACCTTGTGAGAGGAGAAGGACACGTTTAATTCAATTTACTAAACTCCTCGACTGGCTGGAAGTATTGCTATCACTAGAAATAGCAACGTTCAATAACTCGACCATGAGCCTCCTTCTCCTCACACAAACCTGTGATGTGTTTAATGCACATTCACAAACTGAAACCTGCAGAACAACCACAAGGTTGCATCAAGTTCTCTGTTAAACAACCAAAAAAGAACATTATAACCTTCATAAAAGTGAGCTGTGTCGCAGGGTTGATGTATTTAACTTCAGCTGTTTGGCCTTAATGCTCCTTGTAAAGTAATTCTGAATTAAATAAATGCATCATGGGAAGTCCCTCACAAACTGCAGTCGGTTAAATAACAGCAGCCGCGGCGTCGTTCTCCAACGTCAGGGTCCTTGATGTAAAATTAAAAAAGCCTTTGGGAAGCCTCTGATCCGCCTGCTGTCTGTCTGTTAAGGACACAAAAGGACCGACGCTACGAAACCATCTCTGGCCACATTCTGCCAAACACCTCGATGTAAAAGATCCGAGTTGTAGTCACTATTTCAGTAAAATAAAACGGTTATTGATCAGCTCCTCGGCTACCACAGAGACGTTTCTTCTGGTAACAGGTCAGATAATAAACGAAAGGGCCACATGGCAGGAAATTAAAATACGATTGGCACCCATCCTTGATTAAAACGTTAATTTCCATCTCATGTCCGCTGAGGATCGTCCAACCCGGAGTGACATTCCTTCAAAACTGCTTCAAATAATTATTTCTTCCTCACTATATTTATTCATTTCAGCCTAAATTATAAATTTCAGTAACATCATTCAAACGAGAGGACTGATTCCGTCGCTACAATAACAGGCCGGACCTCCGGATGAAAAGCAAAACCACGTCACCGTCCGATATCGATCGTGTGAGCAGCACAAAAGAAAATGTAAATTCACATCGCTGTCGTCGTCCCTCCCCCTCATCCTTCCCTCTCTGCACACCCATGAGAAGCATCCACACCGTTCTCCAATCTGCACCGAGGTCTCCGGTCGCCGTCACCTCATCAGAACAGCTCAAAGAAAAGACTCACAGCTTGTTAATAAACTGAACCCCAGCAGCAGCATCTAGAGCGTGTTCCTGCTGAATGAAGGGAAAACATGTGTGGACGACCTCCCCACCTGTGAGTTCTTCACATTTTTGGGGGATTGTCGTCTCTTTTGTGACGGCAGACAGCAGCAGAGGTCACACAGCTGACTTCAGAGCTGCTTTATCCTTCAGTATGACTCAGTCCAGACCCCAGTGAGGCTCCTCGTATCAGAGCGCTGCACATGATGTCTGAAAACAGCTCATGATGGTTTTGACATTGACTTTGGGGCTTGTGGGAGAACATCAGCATTCAGTGTCCTCAAAAAACAGATGCGAGAGGTTTGAACGACAAACATGAAGCTGCCGTCTGCCCTGCGTTTAACATCCTGGTGGAAAAAGCAGCTTAGAGCGGAAT